TTAGTGTACAGTTTAGGGTACAACAAGGGATTTGGGCTAGAGCACGTGTAAGGGTATGGGGTAGTATTAGTATATTGGTTAGGATTAGGATACAGGTTAGGGTAAGGCTTAGGGTAAGGACTAGGGTTAGCGTTAGGGTACGGGTTAGGATATGGGTTAGTCTACAGGTTAGAATTAGGGTATGGGTTAGGGTAAAGGTTAGGTTTAGGGTAGGAAACGGATACGGTTTAGGGTACATGTTAGGGTATGGGTTAGCGTTAGTGTACAGGTTAGGATTAGGGTACAGATTAGGGCAAGGGTTAGGGAACAGGTATGGTTTACGGTACAGTTTAGGGTATGACAACGGGTTAGTGTTGGGGTATGTGTTAGGTAGGTACAGGTTAGTGTTAGTGTATGGATTAGATTTAGGGTACGAGTAAGGGTTAGGATAACGTTTAGGGTTAGGGTACATGTTAGTGTATGGGTTAGTGTTATTGTACGGGTTAGGGTTAAGGTTAGGGAACTTGTCAGGTTTATTTAGAGTACCAGTTAGGGTACAAAAACGGGTTAGAGTTAGGATACGTGTTAACTTACGTGTTAGTGTACGGATTAGGGTAAGGGTTAGGATTAGGTATAAGATTAGGGAATGAGTACAGTTTAGGGTACGAGAACGGATTAGGGTACGAGAATGGGTTAGGGTACATGTTAGGGTAAGGGTTAGAATTAGGGTTAGGGAACGGGTATGGTGTAGGGTACAGTTTAGGGTATGACAATGGGTTAGGATTAGGGTACGGGTTAGGGTTAAGGTTAGAGTTAGGGTTACGGTTAGGGAATGGGTACGGTTTAAGGTACAGATTAGGGTATGATGGTTTAGGGTATGGGTTAGTGTTAGTGTACTGGTTACGACTAGGATACAAGTTAGGGTAAGGGTTAGGGTTAGGGAATAGGTATCGTTTAGGGTACAGGTTAGGGTATGACAACAGGTTAGGGTACAGTTTGGGTAAGGGTTATGGTTAGGGTTAGGGTATGTGTTAGGGTACGAGTTAGTTTTGGTGTACAGATTAGGATTAGCGCATGGGTAAGGGTTAGGGATCAGGTACGGTTTAGGTACAGGTTAGGGTAAGAGAACGGGTTAGGCTTAGGGTACTTATTAGGGTACAGATTAGTGTTAGTGTATGGGTTAGGATTAGGGTATGGTTCGGTTAAGGGCACGGGTTACTGTTAGTGCACAGGTTAGTATTAGGTTACGGGTTAGAGTAAGGGTTAGGGAATGGGTGAGGTTTAGGTACAGGTTAGTGTACGACAACAGCTTAGGGTTAGGGTATGTGTTAGGGTACGGGTTACTGTTAGTGTACAGGTTAGTATTAGGTTACGGATTAGAGTAACGGTTAGATTTAGGGATCAGGCTTGGTTTAGGGTACTGTTAGGGTACATGTTAGTGTTAGTGTATGAATTAGTATTAGGGTACAGGTTGTGGTTAGGGTTACGGAATGGGTACGGTTTAGGGTACAGGTTAGGTTACGACAGCTGTTTAGGGTTAGGGTAAGGTTTAGAGTTAGGATTAGGGAATGGGTATGGTGTAGGGTACAGTTTAGGGTACGACAATGGGTTAGGGTTGCATTGCGTTTTAGGTTACGGGTTAGTGTTAGTGTACGGGTTAGGGCAAGGGTAAGTGTTACGGTTAAGGTAAGGTAAGGGTCAGGATTAGGGTTACAGTTAGGGAACGGGTATGGTTTAAGGTACAGGTTAGTGTACCATAACAGTTTAGGGTTAGGGTACATGTTACGGTATGGGTTAGTGTTAGTGTACTAGTTACAATTAGGATACGAGTTAGGGTAAGGGTTAGCATTAGGGTTAGTGTTAGAGAACGGGTATGGTTTAGGGTACAGGTTAGGGTATGACAACGGGTTAGGCTTAGGGTATGTGTTAGGGTACCGGTTAGTGTTAGTGTATGGGTTAGGATTAGGGTACGTGTTATGATAAGGGTTACGGGAAGGGTTAGGGTTATGGTTACGGAACGGGTACGGTTTAGGGTACAGGTTAGGATACGACAACGGGTTAGGTTTAAGGTATGTGTTAGGGTACGTGTTAGTGTTGGTGTACCGGTTAGGATTAGCATACAAGTTAGGGTAAGGATTAGGGTAAGAGATTTAGGGTTAGGGCTAGGGAATGGGTATGGTTTAGGGTACAGGTTAGGGTATGTGTTAGGGTACAGGTTAATTTTGGGGTACAGGTTAGGATTAGTGTATGGATTGGGGTAAGGGTACAGGTTAGGGAACGGGTACGGTTTAGGGTAGGGGTTAGTGTACGGCTTAGGATATCGGTATGGTTAACAGTAAGGTCAAGGGTAAGGGTTAGGGAACGGGTAGGGGTTAGGGTATGTGTTAGGATATGGGTTACTGTTAGTGTACAGGTTAGAGTATATGTTAGGGTAAGGATTAGGGTAAGGTTTAGCGTTAGGGTTAGGGTCTGGGTTCGGGTTAGTGTTAGGGAACGGGTATGGATTAGGGTACAGGTTAGGGTACGACAACAGGTTAGGATTAGGGTACGTTTTAGGTACGGGTTAGTGTTAGTGTACGGGTTAGATTCAGGGTGCAAGTAACAGAGTAAGGGTTAGGGTTAGAGAACGGGTATGGTTTAGGGTACAGGTTAGTGTACAACAACAGGTTAAGTTTAGGGTATGGGTTAGTGTACGGGTTAGGATTAGGTTTAAGGTTAATGTTAGGGAACAGGTAAGGTTTAGGTTACCAGTTAGGGTACAAAAACGGGTTAGAGTTAGGGTATGTGTTAAGTTACGGGCTAGTGTTAGCGTACGGGTTAGGATTATGGTACAGGTTAGGGTAAGTGTTAGGGCACGGGTGCGGTTTAGGGTACGCGTTAGTGTACGACATTGGGTTGGGGTTAGCGTACGTGTGGTACGGGGTTACTGTTAGTGTACGGGTTAGGATTAGGGTATGGCTTAGGGTAAGGTTTAGGGTACAGATAAGAGTATGACAACAGGTTAGGGTACATGTTAGTTTTAGTGTACGGTTTAGGATGTTACAGGTTAGAGTAAGGGTTAGGGTACGGGTACGGTTTAGGGTACAAGTTAGGTTATGACAACGGGTTAGGCTTAGGGTACGGGTTAGTGTTAGGGTTAGGATTCGGGTACGAGTTAGGGTAAGGGTTAGGGTTAGGGAACGGGTACAGGTTAGGGTACGACAACAGGTTAAGCTTAGGGTACGGGTTAGGATGAGGGTACGGTTTGGCGTAAGGTTTAGGGTTATAGTTAGGATTAGGGAACAGGTGCAGTTTAGTGTACAGTTTAGGGTACAACAAGGGATTTGGTTTACAGTATGTGTTAGGGTATGGGTTAGTATTAGTATATTGGTTAGGATTAGGGTATGGGTTAGGGTAAGGTTTAGGGTAAGGATTAGGGTTAGCGTTAGGGAACGGGTATGGTTTAGGGTACCGGTTAGGCTATGAGAATGGGATAGAGATAGGGTATGGCTTAGGGTATGGGTTAGTGTTTGTGTACAGGTTAGGATATTAGTGTGGTTAACAGTAAGGTCAAGGGTTAGGGAACGGGTACAGTTTAGGGTACAGGATAGGGCATGACGATGGGTTAGGGTACGTGTTAGGGTACGGGTTAGTGTATGGGTTAGAGTAAGGGTTAGATTTAGGGTAGGGAACGGATACGGTTTAGGGTACAGGTTAGCGTACGATAACGGGTTAGGGTACGTGTTAGTGTTAGTGTACAGGTTAGGATTAAGGTACGTGTTAGGGCAAGGGTTATGGTAAGGTTTAGCAAACGGGTATGGTTTAGGGTACAGGTTAGGGTATGACAGCAGGTTAGGGTATGTGTTAATGTACGGATTAGTGTTAATGTATGGCTTAGGATTAGGGTATACGTTAGGATAAGAGTTAGGGTAAGGCTTAGGGTTAGGGTTAGGGTCATGGTTAGGTTTAGTGTTAAGGAACGGGTATGGATTAGGGTACGTGTTAGGGTATGAGTTAGTGTTAGCGTATGGGTTAAGATTAGGGCACGGGTTAGCGTAAGGGTTAGGGTTAGGGAACGTGTACCGTTTAGATCACAGTTTAAAGTACAACAACGGATTAGGGTATGTGTCAGGGTACAGGTTAGTGTTAGTGTACGGGTTAGGATTAGGGTACGTTTAGGGTAAGGGTTAGGGTTATAGTTAGGGTATGGGTACGGTCTAGGATACCAGTTAGCGTATGACAACAGGTTAGGATTAGGATACGTGATATGGTACGGGTTACTGTTAGTGTATGGGTTAGGATTAGGGTACGGGTTAGGGTAAGGGTTAGGGTATGACAATGGGTTAGGGATCGGGTACATGTTAGGGTATGGGTTAGTGTTGCTGTACGGGTTAGGATTAAGGTACAGGTAAGGGTAAGGGTTAGGGTTAGGTTTGGTGAACGGGTGCGGTTAAGGTACAAGTTAGGGTATGACAACGGGTTAGAGTATGGGTTAGTATTAGTGTACAGGTTAGGATTAGGGTACGGGTTAAGTTTAGGTTAGTGTTAGGGAACGGGTACGGTTTAGGGTACAGGTTAGGGTACGGTTAGGGTTAGGGTAAGGGTTAGGGAGCGGGTACTGTTTAGGGTACAGTTTAGAGTATGACAACGTTTAGAGTTAGGGTATGTTTTAGGGTACGGGTTAGTGTTAGTGTATGGGTTAGTATTAGGGTACAGGTTAGGGTATGACAATGGATTAGGGTACATGTTAGGGTACAGGTTAGTGTTCGTGTATGGGTTAGGGTTAGGGAACGGGTATGGTTTAGGGTACGGGTTAGTGTTAGTGTACAGGTTAGGGTTAGGGTAAGGGTTAGTGTTAGGGTACGGTTTCGGGTACAGGTTAGGGTATGACAACGGGTTAGGGTTAGGGTACGGGTTAGTGTTAGTGTACGGGTTAGGATGAGGGTAGGGGTTAGCGTAAGGTTTGGGTGGGGGGGCGGCCCTTTGCTGAACATGCAAAGAACACACTGAAATAACAGTTTGGGCCTCATGTTCTGTTAAAGGTGTTTGACCAGAGTGCACTTTCAACTGAAGCTAAAGAAGAAATGTACAAGCTGTATCCTAATGCCCGGAGGGCTCACCTGAAAACAGGAGGCAATTTCCCTTACCTGTGCAGAAGTGCAGAGGTGAATCTCTATGTACAGGTAGGTCCTAGGTTGGATCCCAGAGCACTTTGAACACGGAATCTGGTTTGAAACATAAAGTTTTTTTTATTTTCTGGTCGTCGAGTAAGAGAACTACAGAATTCTCTGTAGGAATGAAGCATTGACTTGATAAATTGGTCCACATTAGTAACTTACAGGAGAATTCAAGCATATTAGAGCCACCTGAGGGACTCTATGCCCACTATCCCTTTTCTAAGAACCACAGGCCTGAACTCACACACTGAAGCAGCCGTTTGGTACAATGGGACCTTGGCTCCTGGACGCAATGAATTCAGCCAGAGCAGGACACCAGACTTAAATGGAGTCAATCTGAATCCCACGAAGTGACTTCTTGGTCTAATTTTAATGCATTAAAACACACGCACACAAACAAACACTACTTCTTCTAATACCTGCCTAAATGGATATTAGAATAGTGGTGAGAAATGGTTGCTTTGCAATTTGGCAAGTAGTATCAAGAGCCTTAAAAAACCAGTGACGTTCTTTGATCCTGTTGTCCACATGTGGCAACAGATCCTGAGGAGAGGATCATAAATACAAAAAAACTTGATTCCCAGAGATAGTCATTACAGTGTTAGAACAGCAGAAGATGGGAAGGACCTGATTCGTAGCAGCAGAGGGGAAGGGTAAACACCTACTGGTGAAGCAGCATGTGGCAATTTAAGGTGTTAATAACAATTTGTAGTTACCTGGAAAGACTGGTTACATATTAAGTGAGGAACAAAGATCCCAAATTGTGGTTTTGGTTTGTTTTTGTGTTTCTTTGTTTTTTGCCTGCATTGAGTCTTCGTTGCTGCACGCGGGCTTTCTCTGGTTGCAGCAAGCAGGGGCTACTCTTCATCGTAGTGTGCGGGCTTCTCATTGCAGTGGCTTCTCTTGTTGCAGAGCACAGGCTCTAGGCATGCAGGCTTCAGTATTTGTGGCGCACGGGCTCAGTAGTTGTAGCTTGCGGGCTCTAGAGCACAGGCACAGCAGTTGTGGCGCACGGGCTTAGTTGTTCCACAGCATGTGGGATCTTCTCAGACCAGGGCTTGAACCCATGTCCCCTGCATTGGCAGGCGGATTCTCAACCACTGCACTGCCAGGGAAGTCCCCAAATTGTGGTTTTTAAAATTTTTTTGACTTTTCTGTTTTCTAATTTTTCTAATTAGTATGTATTACTCTAATGTTTTAGTGTATATATTTTTATTGAGGTATAGTTGATTTATAATATTAGTTTCAGGTGTTCTATATAGTGATTCAACAATTTTATAGATTATACTACATTTAAAGTTACTATAAAATATTGGCTATATTCTCTGTGCTGTACAATATATTCTTGTAGCTTATTTTATACATGGTAGTTTTGTACCTTTTAACCCCCTGACCTTATCTTGCCCATTCCCCCAGCACTCTGTAATTTTAGAACTAGAAACCATTAATACACAACAGTGATGTTTAAAATCATTATTCTGCATTTCTGCAGATACATTTGCTGCAATTCCACGGAACCAAATATGCGGCCATTGACCCATCGATGGTCAGTGCTGAGGAGCTCGAGGTGCAGAAAGGCAACCTTGGCATCAGTCAGGAGGAGCAGTAGCTGTTAGAGTTGGCTCTTAGTGATGAGTGATCCAGTGTGTCCGTACAATCAGTGACATCAGTGCCCACCAGTCGGCCTCTCTCTTCGGTTCGTCAGGTTCACCGGTTATCACTGTGTTTGGAACTAGGACTGATTGTCATCTTCGTGACAGGCGGCAGCTCTTCTAAGCCAGTGTAACTATTCCCTCTTCAGTTTTTTTAGCTTTTGAACTTAACAAAGTACTTTTGAAGATTCCCATTTTAAGAATTGTGAAAATTTTGCTACCAGAAGTCTTCACCACTGTGTTGTTAAGTGAATGTTAATTTCTGAATTTGGGGATTCTGTGGATTTTTTCCTTTCCTTTCTTCCTGTTATTTGCTGTAAATGCTGCACATCCACATTGTGTATCAGAAGGACATTGGTTATTTTTATGCTTTCTTGGTTATAACTTATCAGAGTGCCAAGGCTGTCACCCACTGTTTGCTCTCCTGCAAATGAACTACTTCTAATTTCCAGTAAAGCAGATTGTTTTCAGTTTGGGCTGTTGTCTTTATACCCATTACAGTCTTTGGAATAAAAATTCAATTTGAGTGAGTGGCTTTTGTGATTATCACAGCTGCCAACTGGGCTACCTACACATAGGACTCTCTGAGAATCAGACTGATGTTTGCCAAGCCTGTGTGTCTTTAGGTTAAGTTACTTAAGCTCTCTAAAGTGCAGTTTGCTCATTGTTAGATTACAGAAACAATCCTTTATTGAGCTGCTGCTATGTGCAAGGTACTTTTCATACCTGCTTTTTTTTCCCCCTCAGTGGAAGATTTTAAACACACATAAAGTAGAGAAAATAGTATAATGAACTACATCCACATTACCCAGTTTCAAAAATTATCAACTCATGGACTGTGTTGTATCATCTCTTATCCAACCCTCACTTTTTCCACACATACTCCTATGAATGAATTATTTTAAGGCAATTTCTGGTACCTTACTTCATCTGTACATTTCTGTATGTACCTTCAAGAGATAAAATAATGCCATTATCACACTAAAAAATTCACCAATAATTCCTTAATACTAACATCCAGTCAGTGTTCTTATTTGTGATTATCTCGTAAATGTCTTTTTACAGTTGACTTGTTCTAATCAGCTTCCAAAGTTGACACTTTGGAAAGACCAGAACCTACCAAAAAGGTCTTCTACAACTAAAGATAATATAAAGAAGGAACCACAACAAGATGGGCAGGAGGGGTGGAGTCACAATACAGCCAAGTCCCATATCCCCAGGTGGGGGACCGACATATGGGAGAATTGCAATTGCAGAGGTTCTTCCAAAAGAGGGTTCCAAGCCCCAAGTCAGGCTCCCCAGCCCAAGGGTCCTGCACTAGCAAGATGAGCACCCAGAGCATTTGGCTTTAAAAGGCAAGAGGGGCTTACTTTCAGGAGTACCAGAGGGCTGGCGGAAACAGAGACTTCACTCTCAAAGGGCTCACAGAAAATCTCACATGCTCCAGGACCCAGGGCAGGAGCAGTGATTATATAGGAGCCTGGGTCAGACCTACCTGCTGCTCTTAGAGAATCTCCTGGAGAGGCAGGAGGCAACTGCAGCTCACCCTAGGGATATAGTCACTGGCAGCAGCCATTCTTGGGAGCTCATTCTACCATGTGGACACTGGTGCTGGCGAGTCATTGTGGAATCCTCCCTCCGGCTTATTAGCCCCAGCACCCAGCCTGGTCCTGGCCCAACAGCCTATAGGCACCACTGCTGGGATACCTTAGGGCAAGCAACTAACTGGGTGGGGACACAGCTCCACCCACCATCAGATAGGCTGCCTTGAGACCCCCTGAGCCCCCAGCCACCTCTGGACATCGCCTTTCCCACCATAGGGCCCAGCTTCACCCACTCATGGGCAGGCACCAGTGCCTGGGCCACAGTCCCACATTCCAAGGAGTCTGCTCTAGCCTCCAGACCAGTCTCACCCACCAGGGAGCAGACACCAACAGCAAGAAAACCACAGCTCTACAGCCGATGGACCCGGACACTCCACCAGCAGGCCAGATCCTGCACTAGGACCAGCTGGGCCTGGCCCCACCCACTAGCAGGCCATCACAAACTTCAGGATGCTCTGGACTCTGCACTCAACCATGTCAGGAATGGGCCTCACCCACCAGCGACCTAACACCAGCTCAGGGACCCCTGGTCACTGGGACTAGATTCCAGGATCTGGCTCTGCCTACCAGTAGGCTGGCACTAGCCCCAGGACCTGGGTTCCCCCACCAGTGGGTGGGCAACAGCCCCAGAGTCTCCTGGACCTTGACTCTGCCCACCAGTGCCTAGCACTAGTCCCGGGCCTCCTGGGTTCCACAGTCAGTCACCACGTGACCTGGTCCCACCAACCAGAGGTTAGCACCCCCCACACAAGGCAAGGCCTGGCAATCAACTGAACCCGGGGCCAATCAAGCCTACCAAACTACCCACACAGCCTGCCACAACAGAGGGACCCATGCACCCCTCATAGGGTGAACCCCTAGAGGACATACAGCTTGGGTAACAAGAGGGGGATGCGTTGCTGGGATGCACAGGACATCTCCTACAGAAGGCTGCTTCTCCAGGGTGGGGAAATGTAACCAATCTGCCAGATAACATTAAAAAAAAAAAAAAAAAACTCGGCAAAGTGAGGCAACAGAGGAGTATTTTCCAAACGAAGGAATAAGATAAAACCCCGGAAGAAAAACTAAGCAAAGTGGAGATATGCAGTCTACTCAAGAAAGAGTTCAGGGTAGTGATCGTAAAAATGATCAAAGAACATGGGAGAAGAGTAGATAAACAATGAGAGAAGTTGGAAGTTTTAAACAAAGAGTTGGAAAATGTAAAGAACCAAACAGAGATGAAGAATACACTAACTGAAATGAAAAATATACTAGAAGAAACCAACAGTAGACTAAATGGGACAGAAGAATGGATCAGCGAGCTGGAAGATGGAGAAGTGGAAATCACTGAAGCTGAACAGAAAAAATAAAGAAAAGAAATGAGGACAATTTATCAGAACTCTGGGACAACATCAAGTGCACTAATATAGAGGTCCAAGAAGGAGGAAACAGAGAAAAGGGAGCCGAGAACAAACTTGAAGACATAATAGCTGAAAACTGGCCTAAAATGGGACAGGAAACAAACATTCAATCCAGGAAGTACAGAGTCTCCACAGGATTAACCCAAAGAGAAACACACCAAGACACGCTGTAATCTAAATGGCAGAAATTAGAGATGGAGAGAATATTAAAAGCAGCAAGGGAAAAACAACAAATGAAATACAAATAAAGTCCCATAAACCTATCAGCTGACTTTTCAGCAGAAACTCTGTAGGCCAGTAGGGAATGGCACAATCTACTTAAACTGATGAAAGGGAAAAACCTACAGCAACCAAGAATACCCAGCAAGGCTCTCATTCAGATTTGATGGAGAGATCAAAAGCCTCACAGACAAGCAAAAGCAAAAAAAGTTCAGCACCACCAAACAAGAAATGTTAAAGGAACTTCTCTAAGCAAAAAAGAAAAGGCCATAACAGGAAACCCGAAAATCATGAAAGGAAAAATCTCATTGGTAAAGGCAAACAGTAAAGGCAGGAAATCACACACACACAAAGCTAGTAGGAAGGTTAAAACACAAAAGTAGTAAAATCTACATCCACAGTAAGCAGTAAAGAGATACACAAAACAATTAGATGTAAAACATAATATCAAAAACAGTAAACATGAGGGGAGGAGAGTACAAATGCAGGGTTGTTAAAAGGCATTGGAAATTAAGAGATCAGCAACTTAAAACAATCACATATATATATCAATTGATACATAAAAACCTCATGGGGGACTTCCCTGGTGGTCCAGTGGCTAAGACTCCATGCTCCCAATGCAGGGAGCCCAGGTTTGATCCCTGGTCAGGGAATTAGATCCCACATGCATGCTGCAATGAAGATCCCACATGCCGCAACTAAGACGTGGTGCAGCCAAACTAAATAAATAAATATTAAAAAAAAAAAAAAACCTCATGGTAATCATACACAAGATCTGTAATAGACACACACACTCAAAAAGAAAAAGGAATCCAAACATAACACTAAAGATAGTCATCAAATCACAAGAGAACAAAAGAAGAAAGGAACAAAAAAGACCTATAAAAATAACCCAAGGGCTTCCCTCATGGCGCAGTGGTTGAGAGACCGCCTGCCGATGCAGAGGACACGGGTTCGTGCCCCGGTCCGGGAAGATCCCACGTGCTGCAGAGCGGCTGGGCCCGTGAGCCGTGGCCGCTGAGCCTGCGCGTCAGGAGCCTGTGCTCCACAACAGCAGAGGTCACAACAATGAGAGGCCCGCGTACCACCAAAAAAAAAAAAACAAAACCCCAAAACAATTAACAAAATGGCAATAAGAACATACATATCCGTAATTACTTTAAATGTAAATGGACTAAATGCTCCAATCAAAAGACAGAGTAGCTGAATGAATAAAAAAACAAGACCCACATATATGCTGGCTACAAGAGACTCACTTGAGATGTAGAGACACATACAAACTGAAAGTGAGGGGATGGAGAAAGGGGATGAAAAAATTTCCATTCCATGCAAATGGAAATCAAAAGAAAGCCAACGTAGCAACAGTCATATCAGAAAAAACAGACTTTAAAATAAAGACTGTTACAGGAGATAAAGGAGGACATTACATAATGAACAAGGGATCAATCCAAGAAAAAGATATACCAATTGTAAATATATATGCACCCAACATAGGAGCACCTAAATACATAAAGCAAATATTAATGGACATAAAGGCAGAAATTGATAGTAACAATAGGGGACCTTACCACACTTACATCAATGGACAGAACATCCAGAGAATCAATAAGGAAACACTGGCCTTAAATGACACATTAGACCTAATGAACTTAATAGATACATATAGAACATCCCATAAAAAGCAGTAGAATACACATTCAAGTGCTCATGGAACATTCTCCAGGATAGATCACATGCTAGGCCAGAAAACAATCCTTGGTAAATTTAAGAAAATTGAAATCATATCAAGCATCTTTTCCAACCACAATGCTATGAAACTAGAAATCAACTACAAGGAAAAAAACCTGCAAAAAACACAAACAGGTGGAGGCTAAACAATATGCTACTAAACAAGCACTGAATAAATCAAAGAGGAAATAAAAAATACCTAGAGACAAGTGAAAATGAAACACAATGATCCAAAAATATATGGGATGCAGCAAAAGCAGTTCTAAGAGGGAAGTTTATAGCAATACAAGCTTACCTCAGGAAACAAGAAAAATCTCAAACAACCTCACCTTACACATAAAGGAACTAGAAAAAGAACAACAAACAAAACCCCAAGTCAGTAGAAGGAAAGAAATTGTAAATCAGAGCAGAAATAAATGAAATCGAGACTTTAAAAAAATCAATGAAACTAAGAGCTAGTTCTTTGAAAGGATAAAATTGATAAACATTTAGCCAGACTCATCAAGAAAAAAGAGGGAGGGCCCAAATCAATAATATCAGAAATGAAAAAAGAGAAGTTACAGACAACACCACAGA